GTAAGTGAGTTATATAAAGTTAACAGTTTCTAAGTGGGAGCATTGGGATTAGGGTTGACCTCTTTAGCTTCTACAGCTTGATCTTTTTCCTTACATTCATCTCACTACGTGGATTCACTGCTAGAGCAGAGATAGAACTTGGGAAAAGGTGCATATTCTTTTGTCATCATACACAGGCAACCAGAAGAATGGAGGGCATACAGCCTGACTTTTTTTTTTTTTTTTTTTTTTTTTTTTGTAATCAGAATTAGGCCCCCAGGCATGGGATGGAGGGGAGCAGATGATTCATCCTGTCTTTGTCATTCATGTTCAGGTAGGTATGCATTCCAACCCTGTGTCCCCACTTGCAAAATTATGTCATTTCTCTTACATCTCTTTAATCTAATAGAGAATTATGGGGTTTTTTTGTATGATATTGACACTTCCTACCTGTGAACGTGGTTTGCCTTTGTTTTCAATATTTCTTTTAATCTCTTATAGTGTTTTAAGAGTTTCTTCATGTAGGTCTTGTGCACTTCATCATTAATTCCTAAGTATTTTATTTTTGTTTGTTATTTTAATGGGACTATTTATTCCATGATAGCTTCTGAAGGGTTGTTGTTTGTATGTATCAATTCTATTGATTTCTGCATATTAATTTTTGTATCTAGTCAACCTATTGCTTTCTCTTATTTTAAATAGCTTTATAGTTGATTCACTCAGGTTTTATGGGTCAATAATTATATAATCTTCAAATAATGATAATTTTAAAGGGCTTACTATGTTTTCCTCTTGTGTAATTGGACCGTTTAGTACCTCCAGTACTGTGTTAAATAATTATTGTGGTAAAGGACACCCTTGTCCTTTTCCTGTTTTTAATGGAAATGTTTTTAGTGTTGTTTCTATTAGGGTAAATCTTGGCTTTGGAGTTGAGCTAGAAATAGTATTATGTTAGAGAAGCATTCATATAGTCACATTCATTTCCTATTTTATTATAGTTATGTGTTTTGACCAGATGGCACATGTCAGTACATGAACTCCTAAGATCACTTTGCTGAGACATTGGATCTGGTCTGTGTAATGGAATACAGATTAAAAAAAAAAAAATGAGGCGCAAGATCATGACCTGAGCCAAAGTCGGACGTTCAACTGACTGAGCCACCCAGACGACCCAATGGAATACAGATTTTTAAAAAAATCTAGAGCTGCTCTATTATGGTAGCTAGTAACAACATGAGGCTTTGAACATTTAATATGGCTGGTTATGAACTGAGAAGTACTCTAAGTATAAAACATACATTGGACTCTGAAGACTTAGTATGAAAAAAATCATGTGAAAGATCTCAATATTTTTATATTGATTGTATGTTGAAATACTAATACATTGGAAATCTGCATTAAGTAAATTATGAAAATCAATTATACCTTTTTTCTTTTTACTTATTTAAATATGGGTGCTAGAAAATTTTAAATTACATGTGGGGTTTCATTTGTGGCCTGCATTACATCTTATGTATATCTGCAGTACTTTAAAAAAAATGTTTGTTTATTGATTTTGAGAGAGAGAGAGCTGGCGTGCAAGCTATGCACAGGAGTGGGGGAGGGGCAGAGAGAGAGGAAGAGAGAGAATCCTAAGTCGGGTTCGATCCCACAAACTGTGAGATCATGATTTGAGCCAAATTCAAGTTGGACACTTAACTGACTGAGCCACCCAGGTGCCCCTGCAGTATTATATATATTAGCTGGTGCTTTACTAGGGTTATCCACTGACTGTTCCCTATATACATTCAGGAAGAAAAGGCTGCTATGAGCAGAACGTTTTTGTCCTTCGGTCTTGGATATGTCTTCTTATGGTCACCTCTGTAACACTGTCGTTACACAACAGTGTATAATTAGGTACCTTTAGATACTCTGCTAGAGCTTAGCAAAACCTGCCTCTCCTCTAGGTGTGTAGTCCTCTGGGGAGGGGTTGGGCTAATTTGCATAAAGAGTTCAGAGACTCCCCACCCACCTAACCTGTTCTCTAAAATTTAAAATGAAGAGGAGATTGTGGATGAACCAGTGTCCAGGTGGGGCAAGAAGGTGACTGAAATAACATTTTTTTGAGGAAAGTTGTGGTCTGCTTGGTGATCCATTCTTAGTGGAGAATCTGGGGGTTCAAAGAGAAAAATTTCATGTTTAGCACAGAGTGCCGATAGTGATAAGTCCTCTAGGCTCACCTGCTTTGGTTGCAGTGATTCTGTTTTGGGACGTAGTGTCTCACTGTGGGAGTTACTGTTACAAATAAAATGAGGTGTTGGCATTCAGTGCCAGGCACAACTCAGCCTGTGTAGGTACCTGGGCCAGCGCAGGTGTTCAGGAGCAGTGGGCAAGTTCATGAAACCTGACACATACCCTTCATGTCCCCTTCAGAGAAGCCATATTTGGATCAAAGTCAGTCAGACCTGATACATACTTACTTAAGATATTGAAGTGTAGCTGAAAAATAGGTATCAGCCCTTCCTAAATGCAGCAGAAAAATAGCTGTAAAAATTGCCAAAGCCATTTTAAGAAAAGGTGGTTTTCTAATCCTTTCCCATAGGATCATTATCACTAGCAGCAATGGCAGAAGCTGTAACTGTACATGCGGCTGTCAGGGAGGGGAGCTGGAGGAGTAATTTATTCTCTAAAGCATCAGCAGTTCTGATTCTAGATATAATTTAAAATTAGGCAACAAGACAGTTTTGTTTTGAGGCCCTCTCACCTTCCCTTCTTAGTCCTGGGTATGTTCCCCTTCTAGCCAACATTGCCTTTCTTCTCTTCTCCCTAGAAAATTTGTTCATTCATTTAGTCTCTTATCCAACAGCCATCTACAGAGCACCTTCTATGCCATGCATCAGGAATACAAAAATGAATAAGATATAGTCCTTGCTGTCCAGGATAGTCTAGCAAAATGAACATTGTGAGAATAAGCGGGGAAGATCACAACAGAGAAATCTTTGCCAAAGGCATTGCATACTTGAGTGGTTGTAGCACCAATCTTCTGTATTACAGCTGAAGGTGGTAATTAATTTTCCTACAGAGACATTCAATTGCCAGATCATAAGAGCTTAGGACAGCTTTATAGTCTCTACAACACTAGATTTTCAAAAGGAAGTAAGGAAATAATGTACTGAGTTCCTATTATCTCACCGCTTTCATGTACACTATCCCCATTTAACAGATGTGTAAATAGGGCTTCACAAAACAAGTGACTTGCTTAAGGTCCATAGCATGCAGAAGAGCTGAGATATGAGCTCAGGTCTGCCTGACATACAAGTGCAAGCTCTATTTTCTCACACTGTCTACACAGGAGAAATTCTCTAATTATAGAGCCTCAGATTCCCTAACAAGCCAGGAGTCGGTATTTTTGGGTAGGGAGCTCTCCAACATCCATTTTGTCATCTAAGCAGGTCAATGCATTTAAGGCTGGCCCTGGGTGGTTGACAGCTGAACTACACGTCCTTCTCTGCTGGGAAAGCAAACCAGGGGATCAGCAGGCAGAGCGGATAGGCTCAGAGGGTCTGATGGACTTTGTAATTCCATGGGAGCTGCAAAGAGCAAGTTAGATCCAATGCCTTTCATCCCGGCTGTCTGCCCAATCCTTAAACTGCTGATCTCAGATCCCACACCTATCAGATCTTCCAAAAGCTTTTTCAGGGCAGTGGACATACATTGTATTAATTTTGTAACCCTCTTCCCCCCTCCTTTTTTTTTTTTTTTTTTTTTTTTTTATTGTGAGAGAGAGAGAGAGAGAGAGAGAGAGAGAGAGAGAGAATGCACGCAGGAGCCCGGCAGAGAGAGAGAATCTTAAGCAGACCCCACACTCGGCATGGACCCAATGTGGGCTCAATCCCAGGACCCTGGGATCACGACCTGGGCAAAATCAAGAGTCAGACGCTCAACCAAGGAGCCATCCAGGCTTCCCTGTACCTCCTTCTGTGCTTAACCCAACTGTATTTGTGTAATAGGTACACAATAGGTTAACTGGTGGCTTTGTTTTGACAAGATGAATTATTCTAATATCAAAAATTTAAACTTCTTCAAGAATCTTTTGGTAAACTCTGTACATGGTAATCTTCCAGAATGTGGCTTGGCTGTATTAAAGAGTTGAAAATTGGTATTTCATGACTAAGACAGGTTTTCTCATGAACTCCACCCTGAATGCACTCTTGACTCCCAACAGGAAATTCTGTTGTGATCACAGAGAAACACATGACTCACGGGAAAGCCTGCCTTGATCTCTCCGCTGCTGCTGCCTCCGTGTGTTTTGAGATGCTTGAACATTTAGGGGAGTTTCCAGTCTTGTTTTGATTCCTCTTTCCTGAATCTCCCTCCTATCCAGGCTCTCCTCCCTGAAAATGTCACGTTTTCCACGTAAAAACCAAACCAAAAAAATGATAACAGGACAACCCATCACAGAACCGTAAATTCTTCACTAGTCCACAGTGATCTTTGCATCTGTGTGTACGCGTTCAATTCAGGTTTTACTCTTAAAGTGAGACCACATTAAACATGCTTAGCCCACGCCTTCAAACTGGAGTCACTGCAGAGTGCATGGCCCGGCCTCCTTAGCCCGCCGCGTCCCCACGGCTCCAGTGCTCGGAGCATGAAGGTGCCACCCAGTCAGTCACGTCCAAGGCCGTTTATGCGCATGCAGGCGTGCACCAGCGGCCGCGAGCTGTCGGCCCACAGCTTCATTCAGGAGCCCCGAAGCCCAAGTCGCCCCACTGTGGCACAATGGTGTCACCGTCCGTTTTGGGGTCCAATATGTCCTTCCAAGTCAGCTACTCCGTGGGCCCAAGGGCGACCTTGGCCCCGGAGGACTGCAGCACGGCGCCAGGCACGCAGCAGCTCAGGGTGTGGTGGGTCACTGCGCACGCGCAGCGCTCACAGTGCGTGATGCGTCCCCTTGGGGCCCAGAGCCCTGGAGCAGAGAGGCGCTTGCGCATCCCGGCTGACATGCGCAGTGGGTGGATCGCTGTACGCGACGGCTTCTCCCGGTTGGGGGCTTCGGCCTCCGGAGTCAGTGATGGGATCCAGGGGCTGGGCAGCGCCTTGTCGTTGTCCTTGCTTGCAGGCCCTGTAGTGGTCCTGGGTCGCGTATCCTCGGGGCCGTTCCCTGAGGCGGTCTTGGGCGAGAAGGGGTGGAGGGACCGGCTCTTGATGGCTGCCTCCTTCTCCAGGAAGCCCCCATCTGGTTCTGTGCCGCTCATCCTGCTGCGCATGCCTGGGCACCCCCCTCCTGCTTCTCATCTGCCTTCGTCTGCAGGGCCAGTTCCTTCTGGCCCGAAGTGTATCCAGGATTGCCTCACGCTCATTCAGGTAGACATCTGTGGAAAGAGGCAGCAGCAGTCGGAGTCCTTGACGTCATCCCTGGCTCCGTGGAACGTTCTGGGTGGTGTAGCTTGAGACCCCGCTGTGTCTTCTCACGGTAGGCATAGACCTCCCGCCTCGCAATTCTTGCCGTCGTGTGTCATCCTCAGAAACGACTCCGTGTTTTTTCGTTGCTTCTTCACCTATGCTCCAATACAGTGTTTATTTGAAAACCAACACGCATGCACACTTTCCCTTCATTTCCTTCGACAGATTGAAGCTCAAGGCTGTCAACATAAATTTCAGACGTTACCTTTGGTAGGCAGACATCAAACATTATTTTCCAGCCCCTTAAAAAAAAAAAAGTTTTTGCAGAAAGTTATTGGGGTCGTTCTTTTCGTTTTCACCAGTAATTGGTGCAGAATTTTATTTCAGCCCTGGTTCCTGGCCAAGGTCTTTGGTCCTCAGTTTACGGGCTGTGAAAGCAGTGGTTTGCAAAACGTGATTCAAGTGTGCTTTTCCCAAAATACTGCTCTCCCTTTTTATCTGTTCGAAAACCTGTACTATAGAATTTCTTTTCTGTTTAGTGATGTAGGGGACAGAAAGTCACCATGGGAGGCAGTATAGGCCCTTCATTTCTGCACACACACAGTTGACTGGCAAGCTGGTTAATACGGAAAGCCATATCCTAAGATGTAAAAGTAATGGATGGCAGTGGAAGAAACAACAAACTTCAGGTGACTGCCGGTGCCTGAAATTGAATGCAAGAAAAGGAAAGCGCCTAGAGGAGGAGGGAAATGTATGAGGTGGAGAGGAAGAAGCTTACAAGTTTGCTTTGGCTTGGCTTCTGCTAATTGTGTGGCATAAACTTGAGTCTCTGGTTCTGTAAATGAAGATGAGAAAAATTAGGGGAAATAGAAACTAGAAACCATAGAGCAGTGTCAAAACTAATTTATCTAAAACTGTTAAGAGGTGACAGCAAATCAGTGTTGATTCATAAATATCCATAAACAGATTATCCTTCCACCGATGGAACTCAGCTGTTGAATTGTTTTTAGATGTCACGACTCTTAAGAACTGACAAGCTCCAGAGAGGCAATGCCACTATTATTCTCATTTTATAGGTGAGGAAATAGAGGCTGACAGAAGTTAGCTGCTTGCATAGTCGTTCAGCTCGTTGGTGACAGAGGTGTGACTTGAACACAGAGATTCTGAGTTGAATACTCACACACTCAACCACCTGCTTCCTCTGCCCGAGAGAGGCCTTTGGGAATAGTTTGGAGTAGATCTCTTCTTTTGTATTCTACTGGGGTGAAAACATCATAGTCGCTTAGGAGGAAAATAGAACAGTATGGGAATATGTTTGGACACCAATCCCTTGTGAAATATAGATGGGTTGGGGAACGGTGGGAATTGATTATATCATATTAATTCTCCTTTCACTTCAAGTGAAATTAAGGAAAAATTGGAAGAATAACTGGTTCTGCCAATGTTACCAGCTGTCACCTTGAGAGGTTAGGTCTCAAGGTGGAATATTCCAAGACAGGTGGAAGAGAACAGTTTTCTGCTTTTTGCCCTCTGACCAGAATAACATGGCACCTCAAAAGGAGCAAAGACTCCTTTTTGAAATTTAAAAGACTCCTTTCAAAACTATAGGAATAGGTAGGACCAACTTATCTTGAGGGAATTTATTAATAGAGAACTTCCTATAGTTTTTATGTTAAGGCTGGATTTCTTGTGATATACAAAAGCTTATTAACCAAAACTTTGAGTTATGACTTACTGGGTTTTGAATTTAATTTCTGTTACTCCTTAGGATGTCATTTGGGGCAGCCCAGATCATGCTCTGGTAGCAAACAGCCCTCAACGAAGATTTTTTTCTTAGTCATGGTTTGTGTCCTAGCAGGTTGGCAGAGGGGCTTTGCTGGTAGGGGTCATTCAGGTATTCAGGCTGACTGGGAAACCTGGTCACTATGCTAAAGGAAGAAAAGGGAGGACCCTGGAAGGTCTCACTTACACCATCCAATGCTCCAGAAAGGAAGTGACATTGCTTATAATCCACTGGCTGGATTAGTTCATATTCCCCCCTTACTAGGAAGTGTAGTCCTATCTTGTGCCCAGAAGGCAGAGAACTAGAAGTATTTGGTGGGTAGCACTAATAGCCATCCAAATTCATATGTAAATAGGTGAGACCCTGGTAAATAAAATCCTGTAAATCAAATCTTTTTCCTAGTAATGTTGATGATATAATTATTTAAAGAATGAAGTATTCCCAAATGCCTATTCATAGTTATAGTCACTAAATGAGAAATATGATTTAAGGTTGAGAGAAAAAAACAGAATTTTAACATAGTCATTATTATATTGGTCATGAACGTAGAAATAAGGAAGCTCTTCTTTCGGACCAGGAAGTATAGTAGTAAATCAAGTATTTTTTGTTTGTTTACTTTTTTAAAAGTTTATTTATTTTGAGAGAGAGAGAGAGAGAGCGCGCGCGCATCGGGAGGGGTGGGGGGTGGCAGAAAGAAGGAGAGAGAGAATCCCAAGCAGGTTCTGCACTGTCAGCACAGAGCACGATGTATGATGTGAGCTGAAACCAAGAGTGGGATGCTTAACCGACTGAGCTACCCAGGCACCCCTATTTGTCTGTTTTGAGTAGAAGATGCAATATTTTAGAGAAATTCTAGAATAGTGATAGCAATTAGATTTTATTTTCTGTAACAATTATAATTTTTGTAAAATAGTGGACTCTAAACTTCTTTGATTTCTTCTATTGGTGAAACATACAATTTATTTGCTTTCATCTCCCATATATATATATTTATTTGATTATCAATTACTGTAATAATTTATTGCCTATACTAGAAAATGTTTACAAAGATAGAAATTAAATCTGGAGGGGCACCTGGGTGGCTCAGTCGGTTAAGCATCCGACTTCAGCTCAGGTCATGATCTCACAGTTTGTGGGTTCAGGTCCTGCATCAGGCTCTGCTGACAGCTCAGAGCCTGGAGACTGCTCCTGATTCTGTGTCTCCCTCTCTCTCTGCCTCTCTCTCAAAAACAAATAAACATTAAATTTTTTTTTTCAAAATAAAAAAATTAAATCTAGAAATAAGTAGTCATTTCCTTCCTTCCCCACAAAGAATTGTCTTATCTGTCCCTTTTGGAGACATATGTCCTTGAGCACTTGTTGAACTGGATATTCAGGCTAGGCCAAGGCTCAGTTCTTAGTAGCAGTGTCTGCCAAGCAAAGAGAGAAGGATGTTATATGTTCCAGATAGTTGAAGTCTTTGACTGGAGTTGGCAACGGTTGGATACTCTACATCAATTTTTGCTTCTTTTCTTTTGCTATAAGACATCCTACCCCAGGTCTCCATTTTTAGATCATGGAAAGTTACACCCTCACAGGTCTTTCAGTGATTCAAATAAGTCCTTCCGAAGCTGAACTAAGTGGATAATTGAACAGAGGAAACTACAGTGCATCTGAAAGTTCACAATTGCAAGGAGTTAGACAATGGTTAGCAAACTGGATCCAGAAACTATACATAACATCATGGGAAGATTTTATATATGTTTCTTTAGTATGAAAGGTGCCTGAACTTTTTGTAGTATATGAACTTTGACTCTCCTATAAGACTTTTTGTTTTTTTTCAAAACTAATTACGAACGTAGTGCTCACAAATTTGAAGGGCAGGAATTACTAGCTTTAGAAATACTATGTGCCAGACATATTTTTAAAAATATCTTGTTTTGAATGATAGATGATATCTTCCAGGAAAGGACTGGAGAACTTTCTGTGCCCATGGCTGGAACTACCCATGTTTTATCTGTTTTAGCACAGAAAATGATTTTAATTTTTAATTTTTTTATTTTAGAGCATGAGTCGGGGAGAAGAAGAGAGAGAGAGAGAGAGAGAGAGAGAGAGAGAGAGAGAGAGAAAATCTTAAGCAGGCTCCCTGCTGAGCATGAAGCCTGATGTGGGGCTCCATCCCACCGGGATCGTGACCTGAGCCCAAATCAACAATTAGGCACTCAACCGACTGAACCACCCAGGCGCCCCAGCACAGATAATGATTTTAGAAGCGCTGAGTTTTTAGGAAACTTGAGAGGTTGAGGAAGAATACCTTATGCCTATTGAACTCAAGTAAAAGTACCAGATATTCTGGTATTTAGATGTTTATGCATTATAACAGGCCAGGAATTTTATTCAAAATACAAAATAAGCATGACATCTTTCCTAAGTAAGGATTGGTATTACAGTGGGAATGTCTGTTTATGTTTAAATTGATTTGTTTGGATAGGGGATTTTAATATACTACACAAAATTTATTGTCGGTTCTTTCAAACCTGGCAGTGGTTTGTAGGAGTATGATAATTATCAAGATCAGAAACTTCCAGGAAGTCATGGGAACAGATTCTGTGTGGCTATGTGTAGTTGTTTCAGAGTTTTAAGGCAGTGGAAGGAAGTAAAGGTTGTGACATTTCAAAGATATCTACAAGGCTACAAACATTAATGAAGATTTTTTTTAATTTCATAGATAAAAATAATTATAAAATAATGTAAATTTAATGTGTGTGTATATAACAGCTCAACCTTTACAAAAAGATTGTATGGGAGATATGATGTATATACACAATTTAGTACTTGTTCCACTGAACTTGAAGCTTCTAACTCTTAACAAGATTCTTTATCAAGTACTTTGGAAAGACTTAAAAACATTTTTTTCATATATCAAAAATGCTTTATTGGTGATTGACATTTCTTCTTTCCAACAGATGGTGCTCCCTTAGCTGCCAGCTGTTCTGTGGCAAACCCTCCAGATAAGTCCCTTTCTTGATACCAACTACTGGTTCTCGTACATCTGTCCCACGCACCAGTTGGGTATCATAATATCGTAAAGTCTCCTGAAAACTTCATAATAAATGTGTTTGATTTTTTTTTTGATAGTTTTCCTTTCCTTCCTTCCTATTAGCTTATTAAAAGCCAGATGTAGGGGCGCCTGGGTGGCGCAGTCGGTTAAGCGTCCGACTTCAGCCAGGTCACGATCTCGCGGTCCGTGAGTTCGAGCCCCGCGTCAGGCTCTGGGCTGATGGCTCAGAGCCTGGAGCCTGTTTCCGATTCTGTGTCTCCCTCTCTCTCTGCCCCTCCCCTGTTCATGCTCTGTCTCTCTCTGTCCCAAAAATAAATAAACGTTGAAAAAAAAAATAAAAGCCAGATGTAAAATGGATGCATAAGTTACTTCTGGCTTCCTAATATTCATTGTTTGACTTGGCCATCAACGTATTGAAGGAAGATAATTCATCAAAACAGCCAGATTGTGTTGACCTAAAATAAAATACCAAAGGGATTTTGAATAACTCTCCCATGTACATCTCTAAATATTTAAAAAGGAAAAGATAGCTTTATTGTGTGAGACCCTTTCAGAAGCAGAGGTCATCTGGCGATCTCTCTAAGTCTCTTTTAACTATTTGACTTCTTGACACCATGATTTTTGAGTTAGGCCTATTAAAGTTGTTAGATACAACATATAAATACAGATCTAGCTAACACAGAAGTCATTTGCATCTTCTTGGCCAGTTTTCTGTTCAGTACTGCCACATTTAATGTAATGGCTTGAAAATTAAAGGTAAGTGTAACAATTGAGCTATATCAAATACTTAGGAAAACATCTTTATAAAGCAGTTTTAATTTAATCTCTCATTACTTTATTAAAACTTTTTATTTTGAAAAATTTCAAATGTACATGAAAGTAGAAGAAATAGTATAATGACACCGCATTATCCATCATCCAGCTTCAGCAATTATCAATATATTGTCATACATTTTTTTATCTGTAAATCCCCATCTGATTCTATGTTGTTGTTAGTTTTTTTTTTACGGTTTTATTGAGGTATAACTTTTACATGCCATTAAAGTCACCCATTGTAAGTGAATGCACACTTCTACTAATTTGTTATTTAGTGATTTGAAATTAATTTATAGAATTATGAAGCTATCACCACAGTCTAGTTTTAGAATATTTCCATCATCCCAACAAGTTTCCCTGTGCCTATTTGCATTCAGTCCTTACTCTCACACTCAACTCCAGGTAACCACTAATCTTCAAAATCTATAGATTTCTACTTTCTGGACGTTTCATATAAATGGAATCATACAGTGTGTAATCTTTTGCATGTCTCTTAGAGTGTTTTGATATAACGTTCATCAGTGCAGTCACATGTACTAGTGGTTCATTCCTTTTTATTGCTGAATTGTATTTCATCGTATGGATATGTTTCAATTTTCATTACCATTCATCAGTTGATCAACAATAGGATTGTTTCTACTTTTGGGCTTTTATGTTATGTATAATGTTGTTAAGAACATTCATGTAATATGTGTGAATTGTGGGAATATGTGTTTTGATCTCTCTTGGGTAGGTACCTTATTTGTGGAATTGCTGGGTTGTTTACTGTTTACCTCTTTAAGAAACTCCCAAGCTGTTGCCCAAATGGCTGTAACATTTTATATTCTCAGCAGCAGTATGAGGGCTCCTGATCTCCACATCCTCACCAACACTTGGTTTTACCTGTCTTTTTTATGAAAGCCATTGTAATGGGTGCATAGTGGTGTCTCATTGTCCTTTCTAATTATCTCTTAAATGTTAAGTTTATTGAATGAGATTAGTTCTTCCTCTGCCCCAGATGACTTTTCCAGTTGCTCTTAAGTATTGCAGAGAATCTTGATTTTGTCAAAATGTCCTAGCTGATATAAAGGTGAGGCACCTACCCCCCATCTTCAGCTAAAGCCTAAGTTGAGGTGTTGGGTGGGGGCAAGGTGGAAGGGGAAGCTGGTAGTTGGGTTTCTTCTTTTGCCTTCTTACTCTTCTTTTAGCTTTTCCCCGTGTTTTGCTGAGAAGAAACAAAGCTAGGGGAAATATGGGGAACAGAAAAGTCTATTCTGGTAGTGTAGTGAGGTGACCAAACATTTTCTGGGCCTGCAGGTGTTTAACGCTAATTTTTTCATTGACTTTTGAGTGAGTACTTGATATTCCTACCTCTCCTGCTCCCTCACATGCAGCAAATACATTTTCAAACTGACTGGTTGCTTATTCCCTAAGCAGCTAGAGCTTGAATTATAGCTTCTGGTTCTCTTTGCTGAGGTCTTTTTGCCCCTATAGTTTGTCCTTTTGGTTAGGACCTAAATAACCCTTATGAGGGAGGCCCACATCTGGTCCTTAGGCAACATTAACTCATCTCTGCCGCCATGACTTTTGCAGCTTCCGAGAGCCTAACACAGCCATCATTCCTTTGGCCCCTTTGATGAATCCCTTCTCTGTCACGTGAGATTTCCCAGCTTAGAACCAGAGAACCAGCAGTTCACTGTCACCCCAAACTGAGAGATTCCACTGGACCCCTCTTAGTAGGCTTGAAGAGAGGGATGGGCACCTCCAATGCCTCCACATGTCAGGGGGGACACGGAACACTGACATCTAAAATCTTCCAGTCTGCTCTCTTCCTATCCTTTTATGTCCACAGACAGGTGAGGGGTTCAAGAGTTATGTGCCTGTTTGTTTGTGAAATCCTTTGAAGATTCGCATTTTGTTTGATACTCCACTTTGGATATTGATTATATCTTGAGATAGCTCTGTGTGATAGGTCTGGACCAGAGTTGGAGGTCTCTGTAGTGTGTGTGTGTGTGTGTGTGTGTGTGTGTGTGTGTGTGTGTGTTCCCCTACTGAGAAAAAAAATTTTTTTTTCAGTTAAGAGTGACTGAAGGCACAATAATTGTGTTTTACAACTCTAAGAAGGCAGAAGAGTAAAGCAGCAGGTTCATGATGTTTAGTTCTATTTATTTAGGTACCTTCCTTAACTAACTCTTAGGGTCTATTTTATCCTTTGTAAAATTGAGGCAATACTACATATCTTTTTGGAGATTGTGGAGAATAAAAGAAATGGTGTATGAAAATAAATTAGCTCAGTGCCTAGCATATAGTGCATGCTTCTTTATAACTGTATAACCAAGTTATGAAACATTATTTGTATTTGTTTCTTAGAGCTGCACAGTACCGCAAACTGACTAGCTTAAACAAAAGATATTTATTTCCTTAAATTTCTGGAGGTTGGAAGTCCCAATAACAAGGTATCAGCAGGATTGGTTTCTTTCCCTGACTTATAGATGGCTGTCTTCTCCCTCTGTCTTCACAGGGTTTTGCCTCTGTGTGTGCTTGTGTCCTAATCTTCTTTCCTTATAAGCAGTCATATTAGATTAGGGTCTACTTTAATGACCTCATAAAATTGAAAACTTAATGACCTTTTTTAAAGGATCTATCTCATTCCGAGGTTGAGGTTAGGACTTAAACATATGAATTTTGGAAGGACATAATTCAGCTCATAACAATGATTAAAAAAGAAGAAAAAGGAGCACCTGGGTGGCTTAGTCTGTTGAGTGTCTGATTCTTGATATTGGCTTAGGTAGTGATCTCGTGGTCACGCAGTTTAGCACCGCATTAGGCTCCCGTACTGGGCATAGAGCCTGCTTGGGATTTTCTCTCTCCCTTTCTCTCTGCCCCCTTCTCCTCAAAATAAATAAGTGAACATTAAACAAAGAGGAAGATTAACAAAATTGTTGTTATTTATTGATGATGTGATTGTTTACATGACAGATAACAAGGCTCTGTAGTTTAAACTATCAGAATTAATAAATGAATTTATTAAGTTGCTAGATATAAGGTCAGTATACAAAAATCATTTATGTTTCTATAAAATAGTAGAAAGCCATTAGAGAATAAAAATGGAAAATATGACTTACATTAGCATCAAAACCACCAAATGCCTAGTAACAAGTCTAATAAGTGATGTATAAGACCTTCTCACAAAAAACCCCCACAAAATATTATTTAGAAAGTTGAAAGAAATAAAAGAAGACCAATCTATACCATGTGAATTGATTGGAGGACTTAATACTGTAGAAATACCAATTTTCTCAAATAGATATATAGATCAAATGAAAAACCAATAAAAATTCAACTACAGGTTGAGTTTTGTGAACATTATGTTGATCTTAAGATTTATGTGAAAATTCAAAGGGTAAAAAATCCTCAGATTTGATGGTTGTTTAGGAGGACTCCCAGGACTCCAGACATAGTCATACTCATAGATATGATTTATTACAGTGAAGTGATACAAAGCAAAATCAGCCAAGAGAAAAGACACGTGAGGTGAAGTCTGGATGAAATTGAGTGCAAACCTCCAAAAGTCTTCTCCCAGTGGAGACACATTTAATTTCCCCAGCAAGTTATGACAATACATGTGAAATATTGTCTATTAGGGAAGCTCTTTAGAGACTCAGTACCCAGAGTTTTTATTGGGGGCTTCATATTTTGCAAAGTACACACCCAGGTTCCAAACTCTAGAAAGAAAACAAGTGTTCAGCATAATCTATACTGTTTGTATAAACAGTTTAGGCACAGTGAGACACTCCTATCAGTTCTGGGAATGGTAGGAACCTTCTCCAGATCTAAATTCCTGCATTCCATCCAAGGGCTGTCCTTATGTGCAAGCCTATCAAAGGATAACATTCTCAGACCTGCTCTGTTAACTCTTTTCTGAACGAATGCAAAAGTACATAAATATAGCAATAGAATAGGAAAAAAGTCCAGAAGTCGACCTACACATCTGTAGTTAACCTGATACATGACAAAGATGTCATTACAATATAGTGAGGAAAAGATGGCATTTTTAATACATGATGCTGAATCATTGGGTTACCTATCTAAAGTAGACCTTTTCACTTACTTTACACAATATCCAAATATCCATTCCAGATGGGTCAAATAATAAAACGTATAGAAGGTGACTTGAGGAATGTCTTCATGACCTTGTAAGCAAGGTGTCTCAAAAAGTTCACAAAAAGCACTAACCATAAAGGAAAAGATAGATACATTGGACATGATTAA